TTTTTTTTTTTTTTTTTTTTTTGGTTTTTCGAGACAGGGTTTCTCTGAGTAGCTCTGGCTGTCCTGGAACTCACTCTGTAGACCAGGCTAGCCTCGAACTCTCGAGGCTCAGAAATCCGCCTGCCTCTGCCTCCCAAGTGCTGGGATTAAAGGCGTGCACCACCACCGCCCGGCCAATGCTAACTTTCTATCAAGAACAATAAAAGTGAACTACTTAGAGTTTGGTCCCTCTCTGGCACTGGCATCATTTTCCAGTATGTTACTAACATGGCCACTTGACACAGTTTTGTTGTGTGTAGCCCCAACTTTAGCCACATTCACCAGGCGGAACAAAGTAAATGCTAAACCTGTTATCCGGAACTCCACAATACAGAATTTTGTCACTACACAGTTTCCATCCTAGAACCTGGAGAGACTTTGATAGAAGGTTGTCTAAACCCTGCTACACCTTAGGTTGTTCCAGGCTGTTTTTATCTGTTGTCTTTGCTTCTACGTATGTGTGTGTGTGATGGAAAAGAATTCTGGTTGAATTGGTTTCTGGAGCTTTCTTTGATTGTGTCATTTCTTTTGTTTTTCAGTCTGCTCCATCTGGTCACAAACATCTGACAGTAGAAGAGTTATTTGGAACCTCCTTGCCAAAGGAGCAACCAACAGCTATAGGTCTAGAGCCAGAAGACACAGACAAGCTGCTGGGAGATGCACCACAGAAAGAGCCCAGCTCATTCCTCCCATTCCCCTTTGAGCAGTCAGGGGGTGCCCCTCAGTCTGAAAACCTGGGTGTCCATTCTGCCGCTCACCACACAGTCCAGCCTGAAGTCAGTGCTTCAGTGCTGATTACTCCCGCCTCCATTGCACAGTCGGGTGACAAGCATCCCCCAGGCTATACGCTCCCACTGAGCCCTGTCCTCAGCCCCACTCTGCCAGCCGAAGCTACTACCACACAAGTTCCCCACTTACCTCGGAATAGCACCATGATGCAAGCAGTAAAGACCGCACCTAGGCAGAAATCTCCACTCCTGAACCAGCCAGTCCCTGAGCTAAGCCACAGCAGTCTGATTGCTAGTCAGAGCCCCTTCAGGACCCCGGTGAGCCTGGCAAATCCAGCTGGCACAGCCCTCCCAAGCGTTGATCTGCTCCAGAAACTCAGGTTGACCCCACAGCATGACCAAATACAAGCACAGCCGCTTGGAAAAGGTGTGATGGCACCCAACTTTTCTTCAGCAGCTGGCCAACTGGCCACCCCTGAGAGCTTCATAGAGCCTTCCTGTAAGACAGCAGCAGCAAGAGCAGCAGTCTCAGCCTCCCTGAGCAACATGGTGCTTGCTCCAACCCTCCAGGTAAGACAGGAACAGAAGGGCGTAGAGAAACGAGACTACAGAAGCCTCAGCTTTAAGTGACATGAGGCGGGTGCGTGTGCGTGTGCGTGTGTGTGTGTTGTGCAGCAGCCATGCCTAGCCAAAGATGTAGTGTCTGTCTGTCTGTCTCCATAGTCTGTAACTAAATTTTCTCTGTGGGCTAAGTTTGGGGTTGGGGGTCCCTGTTTTGTCAGTCAGTCTGTCTATGGTCAGTAACTGAACTTAGTGTGTATACTTGTATGCACACCTGCATACATGCATGAGTTTCCAGGTTCTGTAGTAACCCTGCATACATGCATGAGTTTCCAGGTTCTATAGTAACCCTGCATACATGCATGAGTTTCCAGGTTCTGTAGTAACCCTGCATACATGCATGAGTTTCCAGGTTCTGTAGTAACCCTGCATACATGCATGAGTTTCCAGGTTCTGTAGTAACTCAGAGTTGCTGTGTAAACAAAGCTGGAGGAGTTAACATTGGAAGAGGAATACATTGTAAGTTAAGGAGTATGAGTTGTTTCAGACCTTGGGAAGGCATTGAAAGGTTCTGAATGAAGAGTGACTTGTTGGTAATGTCAGAAACAGAAATCAGGCCACCCATACTAGGGCAAGCTGTGGATGGATCACTTTGCCTGAGCAGTTGGGGCCTGGGTTGAGCACTGTGGATAAGTATATTTTTAAACTATCCAGTCAGTGAGGCTTCATGGTAGGTTGGTATAGAGGGTAAGGGAGAGGTTGTCCCTGGAAGTAATTCATCAATAGCAAGTTTACCAGCAAGAGAATGCACTGAGTTGTAATGGTCACATGGTCACATCTGGGATGGAGTGGAGTGTGCCGCTGTAACTGCTAACTGCCTGTCAGCATTTGGATCTGACACACAAAAAGGAACATTCTGCCCAGTGGGCAGGGTTCTGTGCTGTGTGTAGGTGTCACAGGCCCGGAGTGGTCTTGCTCTTCTTCCTTTGCTCTGATAGACTACAGAAAGAAACATCTGGAAGAGAGTTTATTTGGGTTTCTGGTTGTAGGGGGAAAGGGTCTGTCCCACCTCTTAGTCTGGAAGCTCAGGCCATGGTCTGTACTTGCCTTCTCCACATTCAGCCCTAGAAGACAGCACTATACTCTTGCATGCTGCTTGGCAGAAACTACTTACATATCTGTAAATGCTCATTTAGATGGCAATAGCTAATTTAAGATCTTGTTCTTGCCTGATATAGTGGCACATGCCTTTAGTCTCAGTAGACAATCTGTGATTTCAAGTCTAGCCTGGTCTACATAGCAAGCTCCAGGCCAGCCAGGGCTATCCTGTATCAAGACAAAAAGACCCTGCTGTCTCTTTGTTTACTGGACAACATTAATTCTTTCCCAAAGGCCATGAGAGTGCACACCTATACAACCATAGTGAAGAAAGCTGAGGCAGCGGGGTCTCAAGTTAGAGACCAGCCTGAACTACCCTGGTCTTAAAATAACAAAAGGACATTCTCTGTCTCTTACAGTGTACTTAGGATGAAATCTGTTTAGTGCACGAACCAGATTCAGAGAACCTTTGAAGAACTTGGGGCTGCAGACATAGTAGTAGAGCCATTTTTTCTGTCTTATGCAATGTCCTGAGTTCAGCTTTCAGCACTCCAGGAAAATATTTTTTAATCATTTATATTGTACACATTGTGCTTATGAGGCTGAGGCAGGAAGATTGCAAATTCAAGGCAAGCCTCAATCTCTAGACAGATACAAAGTCCAGGCTGAGGGCGGGGCTCACTGGTAGAGTCGACCCCAGTCCCCATCACACTTTTTTTCTTAGAGTCCCCTGACAGTTTCTGTGCACAGATCCTCTCAGGGAACTCCACAAGAGCTGCTGCTGCTGCCCAGGGCTCTCACTGTGGAGCTGAGTCACCGAGACCATTACCAACAAGTCCTCTCAGCTCTGAACCGGTCGTTAGATTGCTCTGTCACCGACAACTGACTGAAGCTTAAGCCTGTATCTGTTCATCTTTTTTTTTTCCCCATGAAACATTTCAGTCTATGCAGCAAAACCAGGATCCTGAAGTATTTGCCCAGCCTAAGGTGTTACCCAGTGCCATCCCGGTAAGGATGCCCCCACCCTAAGTGTGTATACCCGTGTGGAGGCCAGGGCTGGCATTGGGTGTCTCTATTAGTTCTCTACGTCATATATTGAGTCAGGGTCTCTGCTTGAGCCTGGCCAACTTGCTGTCTACCTCCTGTGCCCTGGGCCACCACACCCAACCAGATATTTTATTCCTGGGATCCAGACTCAGATCCTCACAAACTAACATAGTGCAGACATAGCAAGCACTCACCCCACTTAGCCATTACCCCAGCCCTGGGACATCCTCCCCCCAAAAAGCACATTGAACAGTTTTGGGTTCTGTTGGTGTAAGGTGAGCTCTTACCACCTTAGTGAAAAGCTGTAGCATTCCAGCTCTGTCCTGTCTCAGGCACCCCTTCTAGGACAGAGTTGCTGTGCTTCTCAGCAGAATTCCTTGTTGTGGCTTAAGACCTTATGTTAACTCTGTATAGATATCTTCTTGACTGTATAGAGGGTGCGTCAGCCACTCATGGGCCCTTGTAGATCATTTGTAAGTGGGTGGGTGCTGGGCATATATCAACCTGGTCTCTGTAAGTACGAGGTACTCCTTGACCTGGAAAGTGAAGAGTCCCAGGGGACAGCCACTGTCCTGTCACATCTGAAGGCAAAGCTCCTCAGCCTGCGGACTTCACTCCTCCTCTCTTAAGCACCCAACTTGTTTTGTTATCCACCACTCCCCTTCACCTACCAACCTTGAAAGACACACTTCTCTGTGGCACTTGCTCACCTGCCTATGAGCCTGTACCCCTCTCCTGGATCTTCAGAGGTTAGTCTTCTGTCTGCTTTAGGTTAGCCTGTTCTGTTGTGTGGTCATCAGCAGAAGCAACTATCCCAGTTTTATATCAAAAAGCAAGCTAAGAGGGCTGGAGCGTTGGCTCTGCAGCTGTTGAGTGGCACTGATGCTCTTGCTTGAGGATCTAACACCCTCTTCTGGCTTCTATGGGTACCCACACACAGAGACACACACACAGACACACACTACATGGGTGTATGTGCAGCCAAAGTATACATACACATGAAATAAAACCTTAAGGGAAGGGGCGGGGCAAGCTAAGTGGCTCGGATAACAAACGTGACTGTTGTTCTGTGTCCCCCACAGATTGCAGGCCCTCCATTGGTTACTGCAACAACCACAGCAGTATCCTCGGTCCTGCTGTCCCCCAGTGTGTTCCAGCAAACAGTTCCCAGGTCCACAGACCTAGAGAGGAAAGCCAGCTCCCCCTCTCCCCTCACTGTTGGAACACCAGAAAATCAGAGAAAGCCTTCCATTATTCTCAGCAAGTCTCAGCTCCAGGATACACTGATACATCTAATAAAGGTATGTAGGGTATCAGCTTAGTTTTTAATTTTGTATCTTAACAAGGCTTAGTAATATTGGTGCAAATTCAGAAACCTGCCTGGCAGCAGCCTCTTTTCCCAGGTATATCCTCCTGGTGGAGTGATAGACGTCAACTCAGACTGTCATTGTAACTGTCTCTGGGGGCAGGTTATTTGGGGAGTTAGTTACACCAGTCAGTTCTATGTTTTCCTAAGGTGTTATCATGGGGGTGAGTTCTGAGGACGTAACAGGCAGTGTATTTCCTTCCTATCTCTTCCAGAATGACTCCGGCTTCCTCAGTACACTTCATGAAGTTTACCTGCAGGTTCTGACCAAGAACAAAGACAACCACAACCTATGACTGCAGTGAAGGCAGTGTGAAGGGAGAGGGTCCACCTCAAAACAAGCAGGCTTCCTCACAGGACATCTAGGTAGAACATGGATCTCTGAGGAGCCTGCGAGAGCCTTGTCATTGAGGCTGTTTTGTAGAGACGTTCTCAGTGATGATGGAGGTTTCACTGTGAAGCATCACCAGCAGACCTTTGTTTGACAAAACAACAAGAGACCATTGTGTTGAGTTATGTGGGAGTTTTCATCAGCTATAAGCCAGTGTGTGGAATGAGTTGCCTGATTGTCAGCTTGCTTTCCAGGCCTGGGGAGGAGCCACCAGCCTTGCAGCAGAGCTCAGTGGAGCCCTCATCCTCCCTCCTCTACCCCTAGAAGCTCTGAACTTAATGTCAGCTCACAGAGTAGCTTCAAGTTTTAAGGATCAGAATTTAAGTTGACTCTTTGTGAAGTATGTTTTCTATGAGCACCCCGCTTGGGCCTTAAGACTTCTGGGATGTCTTTGTGTTCCGGTAAGTGTCTCTGGTCCTGCCCTGTGCAAACTCCAGTGAAGCACTGCTCTTTGGGTAGGGCCCGCTGGGCCCTGGTGGAAGAGACTTCACGCCGATGCAGAGGCCGGGCCACACAGATCCAGATCCTACCAGAAGGCTCTGCTTTAGTGAACTCGGCAGTTCAAGTGTCAAGTTTCTGTGTGAAGCGCAGCCTTATTTTCCTTTTCTGTCTAAACACAGTTCAAGTTATTGTTGATTGTTTTCCTTAACACTTTGGCAAAAGGACCAGTGGACCAATCTGACAAAGCCATTCTGGTTCCATTCCTCAGATGTGCTGAGGGCATTTAAAGCTATGCAGAGAATGGAGCTGTCCTCACACTGCCCTTCCCTTGTTGTAGAATATGGAGTCAAAAGCAAGTGTGAGACACAGAACCTCACAGTATATTCCTAGGCTGCAGGCTCTCCCAGCCGCAGTGCAGAACTGTAAAGATGCTTTGTGATGCTGCTATTGATCTGCCATGGTTTCTATTTATTCTTTTATGGCATGTAATGGTGTTTGGTAATATTTTAATGTAGAATTTGATTATTTCAGCAATAGTAATTTTGAGATATTCTTTGAATGAAAAGTGTCTTCGTTTCTATGATACAGGTCATTTTCTAGTATTTAACCAATTAAGATGCACTGCTTACTTTCTGAGCACTATTTAATGATGGGTAAGAACCCAGTTGACTCAACCAGCTAGCGTAAGGATTCGCTGTGAATAATGCTGACAGATGCAGCAGTCCCGGACAGCTGCTTAAGCTTTAATGGGAACTCAATCAAAGGCTCATCGATTTCTCTCTAGCTGAAGTTTTAGAAAATTACTTATTAATTACTTATTTTACTTTGGTCTTAGTTTTTTAGCCTGAAGAACACTTTGATTGGCTTATGCTGATCTCAACATGCTTCCTGGACAATGTTTCTGCTTCTCAGTTGACCGTCTTCTCTTGTCTACCTAGTTATGTGTGAAGTGTGCAGAATTCAGGGAAGCTTAGACTTTTTCATACTAAGTTAGGGATAGTTTCATGATAGTGTGTAAATATAGCAACCAAAAATTAATTGTTCACGTGTCATCTAAGCAAAGTAAAGTCATAGTGAGGTGATGAATGTTGCTGACAGGAGGAGGTGGTGGTGGTCAGGGAGCCGCAGGGCTGTTCTCTAAAGTGAACACGCCTGTAGACCTGATCATCCCCAAGTGTGGTCTCAGTGGACATCAGTAAACAGATGATTCAAAGCATCTTCTTCCGATAGGTATGTGAATTTCACTGATGCTTGAGTGTGTGTAATGTTATGTGAGGGTAAAGAATGGGTACCCGAAAGAGCGTCTGCAGTCAGACCTGATACTCTGACCCTTTAATCCTAGGAATGACTATGATAAACAGAAGGAGAACTTCTGAGAAGGAAGGCTTCCTCAGTGTAGATGTAAATTGAGTGCTGACGGGATGGAGACTTGAGGCGGGTAAACCTGTTTCCGCTCTGAGATTTACATGCTCCAAGCATTTACTTAAAGTTCAGAAGCCAGAAGTTGCAGATCGTGACTTCTAGGAAGCTAGGCCAGAAAGAGTCCCCAGCGAGCCAGGCCAAGCCTGACGATAGGTGCAGTTGGATGAGTCTGGCCCGAGAGTCAGCTCTGTTGCCTTACTCCTCATTCAGGCATATTGTCCAGACCCTCTGCTAGCTAGCGTAGCTTGCATGTTTACAGTGTCTTCTGGAACCTAGTTAGACTGAAAGGGACATTGGAGATGCTTCTTGCTAAGTTGGCAGAGTCCAGAAGACCTCATTAGGCCATTTGGTCCATCTGTGTACATACCCTACCCCCTCACCCCGGTGGTCAAAGGGTCTGGGAAGAGCAGCCCAGAGTTTGGCATGCAGCGTGTCTGGGGTGTCACCAGTGAGTGACACTGCTCTTTTTGTTGTAGTTAATGTTATGTCTTTGAATGGGTGAACACCCTAGCTGACCCCTCCAGTCCCTCTCAGACTGCCTTGTTCCGGTTGTTACCTCTCCGGGGCCCTGCTTGATCTACTTGACTTTGAGTGCTGAATCTCAAGTGACCATCAGTATCAGGAAAGGCGTCACCTGCGGGCTCCATACGGACTGTCCACAGCTTGCCCTGGACAGTGATGTTCATTCCACACCCAAGTCAGGGCCTTAGCCCAGACTTGGCTTAGATACCAATGACCAGATTTTGCATGTGCAAGCATTGGTTATATCTGTGGCCTGAATCTTCTTATGGGAATTAATTATAAATGCCATTGAATCCACTAGTAAATAATCTTTTTAAACCATGCAGCTTTATTGCTCTCTTCCCCCAAAGAATGTCCTTTGAAATTTCCTCATTTCAGTTGTAGAGGCCGTAACTGTCGTTGTGATACTGATAATGCACCATTTGACTGGAGGTGCCTACCTGCTTATACAGCAGAGTTGGCCAGCATACTGCAGCTCGGAGGGAAGAGAAGGGCACAGGCACAGGAGGACCCTGAGCTTCAGGCACAGAGTGGGGGCTCATGGCCCAAGTCCTGGTCCTCGTGGCACACCTGCTGAGGACCATGTGTTTCTTCTGCCTGCCTTTGTTTTTCCTCGGTTGTGTTCAGTGTACCTTCTGGAACCAGCAGTGCCCGCCCTGTTCAAGAATCCGAAATGCTCAGGTCTGTGCAAAGCACCTTACAGTGGGCTTTGAAGGCCGTCCATGGGGAGCATTTCCACGAGGACCAGGGCCTCTGGGAGCCTGTGGGGTTTAGGTTTGGGGTTGTTTTGGTTTTTTGTTTTGGTTTGGTTTTTTTATTTCAAGTTTCAGCAGGAGAGACGTGCAATGTTTCACTCAGATTCCAATTTGCCATCAGTCTTTCAAACGCTGCAATGCAATACAGATCACTTTGAAGTGGGAAAAAAATGCAAAGTTGTGTTTCCCTTTTGTCTGTGAAACCTTAAGACGTGTGTTGTTGGTGTACGTGCTGAGTGGTCTTATTCTCTACTGCTTTGGCCGTGTGGTTCTCATGACTTCATTGCACCAGGCTCTCAGCCCTTCCGAGGAGACGAGAAGCCCCGCGCCACAGTGAAGCTTTCGTTCCGTGAGCGCAGTACCACCTCATTAACCTTTTTAGTGGTGTGGATTTTATACCATCTCTGTATGTTTGCAAATATTAAGTTATTACATGTTTTAAAATGAGCATTTTTCATCCTAAATTTTATATGTTTGCAAATATATTTTTTTAATAAAATTTCAAAACCAAGTTTTAGCACCTACTAAAAATTCTAATTGTGTTTTTTATTTAATCTGTAGAAATGGGACCTTTCAAATGAGTTGAGCCTCTCCAGAGCCAGAGCTCTGTGCTGCTCAGGTAGAATAAGGGCAGGGAACAAAACCAGCCAAAATCAAGACAACTACATACCTGTTTTTAGCTTATGCTTCAGAAAACAGCTCTTTTCTGAATCCAGAGGGATAGTGTGTGGGGGGGGGCTGGGCTCCGTGGTTAGATACTTGACACACAAGGACCTCAGTGCAGACCCTCAGCACCCGTAGTTTGTTTGGTTTTGTTTGTTGCCAGGTGAGAAGGCATGCCTCTGTACCCCAGTGCTGGGAAGCCACTGGCCAGCTGGTTTAGACTGAACAGCTCCAGGTCCAGTGAGAGACCCTGTCTCAGACAAAGTGGGAAATGATTTAGGAAGACATCCAGTGTGAACCTCTGGCTTACACACCTGCCCACAGACATACACACACAGGCATGTGCCACACGGGCAAAGGTGTGTGTGACAGGAGGTCTAGTGTGTCAGGTACATATTACAACAATTGCAGTTTAAGATCTAAATTGGTTTTTTTATAACTAGAATCCTGCAGTGTTTAATGTTTCCTTTTAATTTTAGTTCAACCCAGGGCTTTGTATTCTAAACATTTTTCTAGAAAAAAAAAAAAAAACCAACTTTCTTCACTCCATCCTCTCCCTAACAAGTTATTCTAGATTGTAGGTTCTTGATTTATTTGTGTTGCTGCTAGTCATTAAAAGCTAGAGTTTGAGGGCTGAAGAGATGGTTCAGCATTTACGAGCACTGACTGCTCTGCCAGAGGTCCTGAGTTCAAATCCCACCAACCACATGGTGGCTCACAACCGTCTGTAATGAGATCTGATGCCCTCTTCTGGTGTGTCTAAAGACAGCTTCAGTGTACTCATATATATAAAATAAACAAACACATATTTAAAAAAAAGAAAGACAAGCTAGAGTTCGGTTGTGGATCCAGCTCACTTTAGTAGAACACTTACATTTTATACACATGTATAATGTATATAATATATAACAATGTATATTATACAGTAGTGTGTGTTATATATAATTAATATACTATTAATATATAGTGTATATGATATATGTACCTGTAAGCACAGTACTTGGGAGGTAGACTGCAAAAGGACCGGAAGTTCAAGTTCATCCCAAGCTCATAGCTCACTGGTAGGCTAGCCTATAAGCTAGAGTAGTCTGTTCAGCTACTGCTTGTTATCTGTCAAGACATGGAGAGCGGGGTTCCTGGGGAAGGTGGCCCTGTTGGTAAGGTGCCTACCCCACAAACAGGAGGACCTGAATTCAGAGCCCCAGCACCCAGTAAAAGCCTATGGCAGCTGCATCCCTGTGTAGGGACGGTGGTGAACAGGGACCGAGCTCTAGAGCCAGCCAGCCTAGCCAAATTGGTGATCTCAGCGAGAGACCCTGTCCCAACAGTAAGGTGGAGGACCAGCCAGATGGTTCAGTAAGTAAAGGCAGCTGCTTTCGAGCTTAATGACCTGAATTTTAATCTGGTCATTTCCACATGGTGGAAAGAAAACCAGCTCCTCCAAACTATCCTCTGATACATATGTTATACCTACATACACAAGTAAAGTCATGTAATCAAAAAGAATTGAAATGGACAGCAATTTGATGTCAGTCTCTAGCCCCACACACACCAACACCTAGGTGGGAGTTTAGGTCACTGGTTTCATTGGAATATTGAGAAAAACTAAATTCAGTAGATTCTGAGTAAGAGCTGGTGTTTTTACAAAAATGAAAAAGGCAAGGTCAGGGGCTTCTGGATTCTTTCCTAGAATGTTTCTCTTACTATGTGCAGGTCTCGGTTCATGGAATAGGTGCTGCTAGAAGTCTGGCTTCAGTAAGGGACGTGTGAATCTGGCCTGTCTCGGGGCTGTCGGGAACCACTGGGCTAGAGGAACTTGAGGTGGGGCAGTCATGTAGGGCGACAGAAGAACACCCTAGATGAAGGCAGGGAGCACGGAAGAAAGAAGCAGTCACTGGGGCTGGCGAGGTGACTCTGAGGTCATAGCATCTGTACAAGTGTGAGGACCAGAACCCACAGGGATGCCAGGTTGATGTGGCTGCCTCTCCTTTAATTGAGTATTTGAAAGGCAAAGATGGAGCCATACCAGTGAACTCTGTATTCAAAGGAGAGAAGGGCCATTGAGGAAGACTCCAGTCCTGAGCCTCCACATACATGAATACACACATGTTCATGTACTCTACACCAAACACAGGAAGCAGGGGGAAGCCATGGGATCTGACATTTCCATGTTTCAGACAATGCAACTTAGTTCACGTGGCATCAAGAGTCCTTAAACCCGAGAGCTTGCCGAATGGAGATGCTGTGCTCACAGGCATGGAGCCTGTGCTGGCCACAAGTGATGGGATCAGCTCCCAGGCCTCAGGAGGCTTCCGGGAGGAGGTAACATGGGGTTGTATGATAGTCCCATTACAGTAAAGAAGTTTGAACGACTTTAAAACACAATTCCAGGAAAGAAAAACTAATGTTTGCTGCATATGCCTTCCGGGTGTGAATTTTTTCCTTCAACTCCCCCAACCCTGAGGGCCAATTGTTCCAGTCCAGCCTGAGGAAAGGGCCCAGGAAGGTGGGGATGGGCCCATAATCAGTTGACCAATCTGAAAAGGGCTCCAGAGAGATTACAGTATGTGCTGCCAAGAAATAGCTTTCTACACAGATCTGTCTGCCTCTGTCACCACACCTGGCCCTTCATCCCCATCTATAGAAAGATACTTAATTTCCCTTTGGTATTCTGACTTGGACTTCATGGAGAATATTATCTATTGCTACACCACAATTTGTTTTTTAATTTAGGAATAAAGTTATTTAAAGTAATGATAAAATGTTTTATATTAACTCTCCCATTGTCTGAGCAGTTACATAAAATTTTCCTAGAGGCCCTCTGGGTCTTCACTGTAACACCTTCCCTCCCTGAAATGCTCACTGTTCAGCATCTGCCTGTTCAGGGCAAAACACACTTCAGTTAGCCCCTGTGGTAACTGTCTTCTTAGCCACGCAAGCACTATCTTTGGGAGTTCACTGTACCCCACCTTGCAAAATTCATACTGGTTGGACTTGTTAACATTCAGACTTCGCCCCACCTGGCATAGGGGGGAGAGTATCCAGCTGCTGTCTGCCACCTGCCATGGCTGCATTAGCTTAGGGAGAGGAGATGGAGCATTCGGAGAGACCTGAAGAAATTCCACCTACACAGCTACAGGGAAGCCCTCCTGAGAATGGCTTCTGTGAACACTGGGCGAGAGTTAACACAGCCCTGTAACCCCTCACCTAGTCTCTTCTGACCTCCATTTGTCATTGGGACCTTGGGAGGAGTAGACATTGCTTTTAAGTCTCTTTCAGGGAAGGAATTTTAGCAATGAGCCCCACCCCAGCACCAAACCAGGTTCTTGGCCCTCTAGTCACCCAAACTAACCTGGGCTCCTGCCCAGAAGCACAGTGAAAAGCTGTTTGAGTCCAGCCCAAGAAGATGAGATTATTAATTAATTCTCCTGGAGGACTTTAGAGTCCTTAATAATGGGCATTGTGCTGCCGTGGTTAGAAACTCAGCACCTTTGATCACCAGTGCTTTCCCAGGCTGTGCCTCGGAGAAGGCAATGGATCATGGGGCAAACAGGTGGGAGAAGCCAGGCCACATGCCCAGAGGCTACTTGTCAGTCTCTTCACCTAAAAGACTGGAATGACAGCCATTCTGTGCTTGATACCACTTATGGTAACCCATGCTTGCACGTTAACCTGTCACACTCCATGGAGAGGGCCAGACCTGTGTTAGTTCCTGTGAAGTGATGAATAAAGACGTTTGATATCCTTCTGTCACTGAGCTCACTCATGATGTGTTAGTTCATCACAGAGGAGAGAACCAGGGGTTGGGTAAATCACCTACAGTAATCACTTCAAGTTCACCCAGCTAGACCAGGGCAGAAGAGCCCCGCCCTTTTCTCTTTGGGGGTTTGCAAGACATGGAAAGGACCTCTAGGTCTCTGGAATAATCGTATTTTTCAAAGATTGCAGCTTTGCTTCCTGAAGAGTCAACAGATAGGTTTGAAGGATCATTCCCCTCTAATTATTTAGAGATGAAGAGACATACTGAGCTAGCCAAGAATGAAATGGCCAATCCTGAAACAAGTTACAGAACTATGTCCACATAATAACTGCAGAACTATCCGTCGGAGTGCTGGGGGCTGCCCATTGGTTGAGTGCTCACCTATTGTACAGGAAGCCCTGTAGTCAATCTCAGCACTACATAAACCAGGCACATGTGCACACTTACGGTCCCAGAACCAAGAAGGTGCAAACAAGAGGATCAGAAGTTCAAGGTTATCCTTGGTTATATAGAGAGTTCAAGACTAGCCTGGGCTACACAAGTGTCTACACCAAAGAAAGAAAAAAATAGAACCCATCCACCAAATCCAGTGAAAATTGGAAGGAGACACAAATAAATCTCTTACGCTGAACCTACTGACTCCTTTCAGTGATCACAGTCTTGGCATAGAATGAGTGACTGCTGATTCTTGGTTGGTTGGTTTTCAAAACAGAGAACAGAATTACCTTTTTTTTTTTTTTCAAAAATCTATCTTCTTTCCGTGTAAGAGTGTGTATGTATGTGTTTGTCTATGAGAGAAAGAGATGTGCACATGCCACACCATGCATGTGAAGGTCAGGAACTATTTTGTGCAGATGATTCTCCACCTTGAATGTGCTCTGGGGATCTGATCGTGTTTAGGGCTCACACAGCGTGCGCTGCCCTCACTGAGCAGTCTCAGCAGCCCCACCCCACTCCCACTGTGTCCCTCAAGGCTACACGTCAACACACAGAAAAGGAATATAGGACAGTGGTTTTTCTTTTTTATTTCTTGATTTTGCCTAAAACTTCTAAATGAGCATGATGTTTCAGGCCTGTCATCCCTACCCTGCGGA